CTAATGGCTTCAAGGGATTATGGAGAAAAGCACATTAATTTGGCAAAGATAATGAGCCATTAACCTACAGCAGCACAGCAAAGGGCTTGATGACCAAATGTCTGCCCTGACAGCTTCAGCAGATAGTGCTGTCACCTTCATTCCACCCCCAATGTCAACACCTACTTCCTGTTACTATGCCATCTGACCAAAACCCAACATCTCCCCTTGAAGGGGAATTGCTATCTGGTCTGCAGCATTGTATATCTATCTGGTGTCAGGATTCAAATTGGTTGAGGTGTGGCAAAGATAAGTAAACCAAAACCTGAAGTAACTCAAATTTAGGAGAAAACTGGATTGTGGGCTGTAGCCTAGACAGTCTAGTCAGATTTGGGGGAAGCATGATTAAAATTGTCTTTATCTCTATTCAACATCCAGTGAACCAGTGATGCAAAAACAATTGTGTAGATATTGAACCTAGCTGCACCCAATGCTGAAGTAAACTCAGTGGACTTCTCAAAACAAATTCACATCTGGTCGAGGCTGCAACATTCAAAACACAAGCTGGAAGAATCTTGGCTTTTTCTGGACAGTTTAGCATAAACCAGGAATTAGAATTCACTTTAAAAATGTTAAACTGCATATACTTCATCCTGGCATGACAAAATAACAGTACAATTACCTGATTGCCCAGTATTTGGCTTTAAAAATTGACATCAACAGCACTCAGACTGTGGTCTAAATCTTAATGGGGAAAAGCCATTAAAAATCTGTGGCATGCCCCGCAAGTGAAGCCTTCCCAAAACCAATACTAATTCCATTCCTGCAGTGTGTTTGGAGCATTGCCCACCTCCCAACTCAAAGCTTCTGCTGTCTATTTGAAGACCTGACATGAGGGATATCAATTACCTAATGCTCTGGTAACCTTGGGATTTTGCATAGGTATGGCATCAACAACTGCATCATTTCTTACAAGAATGCTCACTTGCACAAAAGGTTCTTTATCAGTACGCACAAAAATGTACAGGGATGCTGGTAATGAGTTAATCATACCACACCAAGGTTTCTTGCTGTACTGCAAAGTGTGACTTAAACTTCCAAACAGGAAGCACTTAGTCATCAAGCCCTACAAGTCTGAAACAGCAATCAAAAATTTATTCGAAATCGCCTCTAGATATCAACTTGGATATTGGTAACTATTTTGTCCTATGTTACTACAAGACACTAAATCATTCCCAAAAAATCTCAACACCCATGCTGAGTGATTAACAATAGCATTGTGACATTCAACTCTTTGCACTAACTGTGCAAATGCCAATGATAATTCAAGAAAATTTTCCAAACTGATCTTGCAATTTGCTTCAACTGGACATTTTTCTTCAAAACCCATTTAAGGCAATATGAACTACATGTTCCATATAGCAGAGCTAATTAGCTGTCCGTCACACAACTTCACTGTGTGGAAATTAGATAGTTCAAATCATAACCATTTGTAATGCCTGACATTCAAAACATACCCCTCAGACTAAGACTACCAATACAATACCATTGAAAAAGCTGCTAGTTGAGAGGTGCAGCTGCGAATATTGTACATTCTCTCCAGAAAGATCCTAAATCATTAAGTAGTTGCTTCATCAGTAGAGTTTACTTCAGGCAGTCCATCCAATTGGAAATTCTAGATCTAGAATCTAGATATCTGCACAAGTACAATTTGATCAGTTAATATTGTTTACTGTGCATTGGTTCAGCTATTGCCATGGTTATAAAATGGTCACATTATTTAACAGTTTTTTGAACTCACTTTGCACATGGACACTAACATGTAAGCAGTTAGGAATCAAGTTATAGATCAAATTACCACTGCTGGGATTGAGTTACTCGTTTCAATTGCACAACATTTTTGAAC